GAAGATGTTGTTAAATGGCAGCATATATAAATAAAAATTAAATTTGAGTAAACCAAAGCGCTTACATACAATCACAATTTTAGAAGTGCATGACTGTCATTTGCATGACTGTTTCATGGAGCTGAATGAGCTCATGGCAGAGGGGAGGTGCACCTGTGCTTTGATGGGGTATTGAATTTTACAAATGTGCTCCTCAGCTAGACAAAATCCATTATGAAATGAGAAAACTGGTGACCCCAGCCATTTTGGCCTCACATGAAAAATAAAACAGCGTACCAGCTTTTATCTTGAGAGAGAGAGAGCGAGCGCTTCGGGATCATAACTCAGTTCTTCGCTGCTGTTTCTTCCTTAGTCATGCTTGTCTCTCTCCTTCTCTTCCTCACAGTTTACCCCTCCCGCCCGCCACAGCCTCACTTTTTGCAGTGAAAGTCATCTCGCCTTAAGTGAACCCGCATTGCCAAACCCTTACAGTAAATCCCAAAGTATTTAACCGACAAGCGCATCATCGTCATCTGTGTATTTGGCAAGTCCAATAAATTTCTCAGAAAATGACTCAACCTTGCATTTTCCAGGCCGCTGTTATCTATCCAAACTAGGACGTGGGTCCATGTTTCATTTCACACAACACCGTGGGACATTTCATCACATCAAGGAATCTTGTGTCTCAGTCTTTTCTACAACGCCTTACACTGGCTCTCACTTTGATGCTCTTTTTAATTGTCTCCACTCTCACCGTACCTTGTCAGTCACAGTGTCTGTTAAGAGTGCGTGCGGTTTGAGCCTGCGCCAGGGCTTAAGTGTTTAATTAGTAAGAAGAGAACTTGCTTCGCCTTGACAATTCAGCTGTGCAGATTTTAAGGACTTTGAGCTCACCCTGTGACTCGAAACCTCGACGACGAGATGAAACAGGGAGAAAATGACTCGAGGAAATCGATGTTGTCGGGCTGAGGCTTCACAGTTTGCCATCTGTATGAACACCTTTAAGAGGTGCTAAAAGAAAAGCGAGAGGGGACTTGGGAATATCTGTCATGATTAGGCTGTGTGCAGGCAGGATGAGGACCCAAACGCAAACTCACGGGAAAACAGGACTGAACTCAAAATACAGCTTTATTGCTGACAGAAGATAAAGGCGATACAAAATAATACGAAGCTAAACTGGGAAGTTCCAAAGGAACTGACTCACGAGGAAACACACTGAGGGGCGCACAGTCACGAGGGAGAACACGACACTGAACTGAGGGAGACGCGGACATAAATACACAGAGGGTTAACGAGGGAAGTGGGAGCACACGGGGAACACAGCTGACACAGATAATCATAATGAGTGAACACAACATGACGGATACTGACGAGTGACTGTCAAAGTAAAACAGGAAGTACACAGAGGTTCAGACGGGAGGAGAGAGTGCACGGGGAGAGCACAGACATAACGGGCTGGGGAAAACATGGAATAAAACACGAGGAGGGGAAACGAGGGCTCACAGATACACAGAGGGGCACACAGGGGGTAATCAAATAAGGAACATCTTAACAGAACAACCTAGGAACCAAGGCATTAATACAAAACACACGAAAACTAAGAATACTGGGCCAACATGGCCCAGTATTCTTATTATCCATGTGTTTGCCCTGTATTTTTTACCTTAATGATTACTTTTTTTTGTCTAGCTTCTTTCGATATTTACAAACCATCCTCATATCTCTGTCAGCATCGTTTGAGACATTTTCTCTCTTTTCTCCTCACGTATCCTCTCCTCTTCCCGCATTTCACTTTTTCCACTCTAATTCCTCACTCTTGCTCTCTTGTCTCGTAACATTTACTTTCCTTCTCAAATCATCAAGTGACGGCATTGAGGCTTTTAAGAGAATGTATTCACTTAGTAAGTATACCTTTGACTTCAGTAACAGGAATTTGCAATTATCTGTCAGGCTCAGTGCAGCGAGAGAACAATTCCCACACTGTGTTTTAACATTCGGCTGCAGTTTAAAGTCAGACTGTGCAGCTCTGGTAGAGCAGTTGCCCATTTCTCAACCCACTGCACATCTTCTGAAATCTAATTATCACTTATTTAATTAGAGGAAGACATTACAGTTAGCCAATTCTGCAATACTGTAATTAATATAAGACATCTGCTACTTCCAACACCATAAGCATTAAGCAATAAATAAATAAATAAGGGAAATGCAGTCACATGCTTCTGTGCAATATAGCAATAGTGAGATGAAGTGCTAAAAGTTGCCCCAGGATTTATGAAGCGATTAGTGAGTCATACTTAACTGAAAGTAACCGGACAAATTGTTAAATTGAAGCTAATTAAAGGTAATGGATAAATGTTTAATTTGGCCGACTAAATATAAGGGATATGTAGTTGGCTGAAAATAATGGATAAATGCTTGAAATTTGAAACACTTAAAATAATAATATGCAATTGAGCAAATGACTAAACATAAGAAAGCCTAAAAGACATCGACATGCAATGACTTTCTCTGTATTCCACACAGTTTACATGCTGGAAAAGAGTAGGATGAAGTTTGCTTATTTGATTCTATGCCCCTTAAGACTATTCAGTAATTTACAATCAATGTTCGTTGATATACAGTTAGATACAGATAATATACATGTATAACTATAGACACACATATAATACACACAAAAAAACAATATAAATAAACCAAAACAACAAAACTACATTTTTACATCAAGCTATAAACCGTGTGATTAACACTCCTCTTAATCCCTGTATTTGTTAAAATAATCTCTTTATATTTGTTTTTTAAACTGACTTTAACTGAGAATTTGTTCTTTCATGAACCTCTTTGAAATCCTCTTAAAAGTTTCTTCCCATGTTTTAGGAAATTTACTGAATTTTTCTTCCATTACTTATCTGTATTCACCTTCTGCATTATGGACGGGCCCTGGGGGTCCAGGCTGGTCCATAAAAGTGACTGAGCTGGATACAACTAAAGTAATTTGATAACTATAAGTCAAATTAAGTCTAATTAATTTTGTATTGAAAATAGGAACAGCCATGCCCATGTTAAATATTCTGGTAATAACTGTACTAGCTTGACTGAGGAGGGCACTGACTTTGGAGCATGTGCATGTCAGACCTTGGGATGTTGTCTGGTCTTTAGATAAAATATGTCTCTCAGGAAGTAAAGTAGGTCATCATTAGCTCGTGAGGCTCACTTAAAACTTGAGAAGAACAAATATACTATGCACGTACTGTGGGTTTATTGTTAATACATATAACTGTTCATTATGTAGTTTTAAAGGGTTTTCTAAGTTTGCTGTGTAAGTTTGCTACCATGTTTACCACTATAAACATGGTAGCATTAATCTGCCCACCTTTGTTTTCTTTTGTTTTCTTTCGTAATGAAATAGCAAAGTGAGCTGAGTCTAATAGCCCCATGTCAAAGTTTGTCACTTGTCCAGTCCATCTTCTATGACGCAGTCTAGCAAACTGATATAAAGCCCGCCTAATGCTTAGTTTAGCACACTCTAACACTGAGCAACTGCTTTGTTTAAATCCAGATGCGGCTCCACAGTCGATATTCCTTAGCTAGACCCACTTCTGCTAACTATAACTCTAAAATGTCTGTGTTATAAACAAAGAACAAAAAATGCTGTTCTGTTGGCTGCAAAAGCATCCCATTAGAACAGATGCCTGTTGCTTTCGAAGGACAACAGTTGTGCTGGGATTTCAGCTCATTTACATGTAATAAAATCACTCAGAAATCTAAAAAGAAAAGAATGTCTTTCTGATGTGACTCAGGCTGCAGTCACGAAGGCGTAGAGACTGGTTAGCAACCACCTGGTGAGCACCAGTTGGTAAATCTCTGCTGATTTAGAGAATATGCTGAAGTACATGTGATCAAATGATTCTGGAGGGTTGGCATTTGAAATAAATAAATAAATAAATAAATCAAATGATATGAAAACAGAAAAAGCTCTTTTTATGATAAAAAAAAAAGTCTAAAGGTACCAATAAATGCTTGATATATTTCCTTTAAGTAACTTTGCACTCACTGAAAAACTTTCAATCTTATAGTCCTATAGTCTTTCAAGCCTATAGTCAAAATCAGGAAATGGTGCTGTAGTAAATGAAAGAAATGTGACTTCACAACTTTTTGGGCTTAAGCTGTAAGAAATATATGTGTAAACTTACAGAGAAAGTTCTGGTAGCTCATTGGCCAGACTGTCTTGTTGTTATAAAACAGAACATTTTGATAAATTCACAAACCCTCTCCTTTTTTTGTTCTTTTTTAATCTTGTGGACCCGTTGTAAAAAGGAGACATTTATGCAGCAACTTCTCTGTCATTCATTGTTTTTCTATTACAGACTTCTTTGAGCTAGCATGAATGGCGATGGGGGAGGTCTTTATCAGGCAAAGCTGCGGAACGTATTAAAATGCATTTTAAAGCCCAAGACCCTCATTCATATTTTCCAAATCTCTCCAGTGGGCCAGATTTGAACCTGTGCTGGGCCCATTCTGGGCCCCGAGCCTCGTGTTTGACACCCTTGTTCAAGACATTGCAATATTAAAGCAGTTCTGAGACAGACAGTTCTGAATCATGATGAGTGAGGCTACATAAAGGACCTCTGAGAGAAGTAGCACAGTCCAACTGGCAGATTTAGACTAATTCATCAGATGTGCAAAGAAAATCTCTGGACTAATAAAGACATTTTTTATTCCAGGAGGAATATTTCAGTTGTAATGGTGACATAAATGTAAGAGCGTGTCATGGAAATCTACTGGTAAAATCCCAAAAGATAGAAAGGAGTGTATATTAGTTGAGAGCAAGGCACAAAATATCTCAGTCAAGAAATCATGTATTAAAATAATAATTTAAAAAAGAAATTAGGTTATGTAAGTAGATTCTGGAAAATGTGAATGAGAGTTTCACCAATCATTTGACCAGCGAGGGCTCCTCTGGTGCTGGACTGGAGCTTTAAATGTTATTGTAACCTTGCGCTGTCTCATGTCCCTGCTCACAGAGGGTGGCCAGATTAACAACAACGTGGGACCGGCTTCAAACATGGGCCAGCAGCACCCTTACCCTGCCCTCGGCCAGCTGTCTCACGTCTATGAGCAGCAGCAGCAACAGCAACAGCTCCACCAACAGCAGCAGCAGCAACAGCAGAACAAGGATCTCAACAAGTACGCCTCTCTGAAGGCTGTAGGTGAGTGACTGCCAAGTTTCTTTCTTTTTTTTAGTGGAGGGGAGTTTAGATGAAGGAGAATATTTTTACAGTTTGTGGTAGGCAGTAAGGCTGATGTTGTTCTGTTGGTAACTCTTACGACTATAGCAGTGTGTAGATAGGCAGTGAAACCCAAGGCTGGGGCCTGCCTTGTTAGTGGAGTCATCGTGATTCATCCCAAGTTGGCAGTGAATTTCAAGAAAAAGGAAAACCTAGGCTCCTATAAATGACTTTTTTTCTAGTATAGTTTACTGAATGCTTTTTAATAATGAATAATAATGGATTGCATTTATATAGCGCTTTTCGGGACCCCTCAAAGCGCTTTACAATTCCACTATTCATTCACTCTCACATTCACACACTGGTGAAGGCACCCCTGAAACACAAACTCAAATAGCAGCAGGTGTGTTTTTTTACTCTGGGAAGGCTCTAAACAACAGCAAGCACACTGCACACATAATTGACAATGGTTTTGACTGCATCGCTAACCTGGATGTGGTGTAAGACATAAACGGCTTATACATAAATATTTTTTCCCCTGCTTACTGGGGATTTATTTAATGGGAAATTTACACCATGGCTACGTCGCAACCTCAAATTTCTTTTGAAATCGTATGCCGTGCACCTCCCTAGAAATGTAACTACACTTCAGGTCAGTCCGCAACTACTGTGACTGATCTGTTCAGTATTGTTAAAGCCTTCTTTGCATATCCAGCAACTTTTTCGCCACTGTTTTTGAATTTATCGGTGACAGAACAACAATCGTCACCTTAGTATAAGGAATAATAATCATAGCATCAATGTAGGGACTGAAAAATCTCAGCAAATTCCTGGATTTAGAATTCCAAAGCTATTACAATGGACAAGAGGAAATGTAGCCTATAGATTTACCAGTTTAAGCAAACGTATTATACAAAAATATCACATAAAAACAGTGGCTCACATCCTTAGTGGTGTTGTGCCAAAAAAAATCCATGTTTAGCACAACACCACCAATGATGTGAGCCACTCACACAGGTACAGTAATGTCATAGGCTCTGCAAAAGTTTAGGACTTAAAGGGGAATAAATATAGTCATCTTCTATTCCACGTGTTCCTTGCTGGACTCTACAAGATGGGAACATCCTCACAGTTTAAGTTCCCAGTTCAAAATAATCCTTATTTACCTTTTAGAGGGCTTCGGGCAGCCTCCCCATTGTCTAAAATCAGTTTCCTTCCCCCTCACTTTAAGCTGACCTTCTCCTGATGCTGGCTGTGTTTAATATCAGCATTTTATATTTAAATGACAGTGGATACACTTTCACGCATGCCACCAAATTCAGTGAGTCAGCGGCTGTAGCAGCTGATCTAAAGTTGCCTCATCACCATACGTTCTTTGGCAGTCACATTGCTATTTCATAATATGAATTCATTCGAGGCCGACACACAAGTGCTTCCAGCGAGCGTTTGTCAGCTTGTTTATGCTAGACAGGTACTCTGCCTTCACTAGATTCAGAATTCAGCCCACTCACGACAGATACAATCTACAAATGCATCTAGATGTCTGTGTAAACAGCTACGGGATGCTATTTGTCTGCATTGGCTCCCTTTTATTTGAAAAATGACCGGATAGATCGTGTTTTGTTCTTTTTTTTTGAAAAGCCTATCTGTCCAGCATGTCCAGCAGCACAAAGTAAAACTGATTGTGATGACAAATGCATCCTGTATTGTCAGTGGTATTCCCTACACTACTGTGGCCCTGACTCATCTCCAGACATGTTACAGTAATAGATTATCCTGCTTGTTTGCGCTGAGTAATACTTTGTGCCCCTGAAGCAAGAAGAAGACGTGTCATTATTATGGTAGCAGTATATGTAACTGCCAGCAAAATTGACAACAGAGAAAGACTTGAATGAGCAATGAATACCAAGTGGTAAATGAACGCATCATTTTTAAGCTTAAAGGATTACACCAATAAAAGCACAGGAGTGAAAATAGTGGTTAATGCTGTCATGCCTGAGTCCTGAACTTGGCAACTTTATTGTTTGATGGTCTATTTTTATAATTCCCAGAGAAGTGGCCGAATATAGACATCAGAGGATGCCTAGCTATTTTCAGCACAGCCACAGTTGTGTTTGATTGCAGGAAATTGTTCAGTTATCTAAAACGCCAGCAGAGAACATCTTGGTGTCAGTCTGCGAGAATCCAAGAATCCAAGAACGAAGGCGTTCTTTCTTAACTCAAAATTTCGTGCCAATATTCAACAAGGAGGACTAAAAATTCATCAGACAAGCCAATTTCCCCCGAACACATCCGTGCACTGCAACCGCAAACTGTGCTGCAGTTTGAGTGCAGCATAAAAACCAACTGTTTCTCAAAAAGTTTTTTCCTTCGTCTTACTGCACATAAACCCAACAGATGGATGCAACACATGCTCTGGGGATTGTGCGCGGCATTGTGGGAAATGAACGAAATCTCTATCTGTTGGGAAAACAGATGAGGCAGGTTGATGGATAATAGGTACAAGAGAATTCTAGCAATGTTATGGAAATTTATGCTATAAGAATACAAACTGAGAAAACTGGTTTTCAAACTGTTTCCTTGGAAATATTACAAATAAATGTAAAAAAAAAAAAAAAAAAAAAGCGGCCTAAAGACATTCAGCCTGCATCTATATCCTCTAAGTCCAACATTAAGAGATGACCAATACCCAAGCATTTGTGTTGTGAATAGTAAATTTTATTTTGTTTTCTCCATTAAGAATTATTCCTACCAGAGAGGCTGGTCTGACTCGTTCAGAGCCTGCTGATCTACTTGAATCTTTAGGGAATGGTCTGCAAAAGAGAAAATATCCAGTGAGCAGCAGTTCTCTGGGCTTGTTGATGCTAGAAGTCAGAGGAGAAAGGCCAGACTGCTTTGAGCTGACAGCAAGTGTCTGTTGGTGTCACTGTGCTTTGATACCCATTGTTTCCAACTGTGCAAGAATGGTTTGCTGAACAAAGCAAGCTTTCGCTGTAGTCATTTACCGTGTGACCAATATAGCCTCACCACGTTCAACCAGCGCATATAGTATATGTAAAGCCCATGAGCAGGTGCACAAATTGTGGTCCATTTGCTCAACCTAGTTGTCAGTGCAGCATATATCCTTACTTTTTTAAAGGGGCCATTAGTCCATGGCGCTATAGTGCTGGGCTCATCTTAAATGAGTCATATGGATCTGCCCAGTTCTATCCCCACTACCCGCAGGGTGGGCTATAGAGGTCTAGTACTATGTGGATCAGGCATCGATCAGGGGCAGAGGCCTTGCCAGTTTAATCCCCAGCTGCCAGAACTGGTAGACAAAAGTGGTTCTGATGGGGGGAGTTTCTACAAAAATGTAGCATTTTATGAATTTATGAATAAAAAAGATATTTATTAAGTCCAAATCAATTTATGGTTCATTTAATACACATCCAATTGGCAAATCTAATAAAGGTCTTGCATGATTTTTTGATTTGACGTTAAAAATAAATAACGCCAAAATATAAATAAAACTGAATTGAATTAAACAGAGGTTACACAATATAAGTTACTTTGTGTATCCTCTGACGCTTTGCTGCTGTAACTACAAATCTACAGCTATTTCACATCTGCAAGCTGCTTTGTAACCCACCTTCATCCTAGCCCCCATATTCATGCTGTTTCTGATGTAATCAATGTGATACTTGTTGTTATTCCTGCTTAATATTAATATAGTGTGTCTTAATATTCCTCTGTCTTCTGCAGCTTTTTGTGGTAACACAGAAATCTTGTCACATATAAACTATAACAGATGTAAAAATAAATAAATAAATCATTTTACAAACTGAAAGGTCCTGAAAGGTCCTTTTTTAAAAAGTATTAAAACTATATGTGCTACATGTTCAGTAAAGGTTCTGGGTTTAAACCTCTCATCAGCCAGGTTTTCTGTGTGGAAGTTGCATGTTTCCCCTATTTGTGCAGGGGTCCAAATCCTCATGTTTCCTTCCAAATTCCAAAGACATACATATTAGGTTGACTGGTTACTCTGAACTGAGTGCGGGGCGACTATGACCATGAATGGTTGCCTTTTTTGTCCTATTAAGGACTTGGAAACCTGTTCAGGGTGGAGATGGGGTGGCTGTAGGTAAGGAGGTAGAGCAGGTCGTCCACTAATCGGAAGACCGGTGCTTCAATCTGCTCCAGTCCGCATGGTGAAGTATGCTTGCGCAAAATACTGAACCCCAAGTTGGGATGTGAATGCTAGACAGAAACCACTGCATGAATTTGTGTGAATGTTGTATGAAGAGCTTTGAGTTCTCAAGAATAGAAAAGCATTATATAAGAACCAGTCCACATTAGCCCATTCACTATATCCCATTCCAGTATATCACGACAGAGAACTTTAACTACAAACAGAAAAGGTTGACACAAACATCAGCGTTCAGTGTCAAACTTGTTGTAGAAGATAGGAGGCAGTTACGCGGTGTTTTATAAGAAACACAATGCAGAACTCAGCAGGATTCTCTGGCTTTTTATCTTTAATGAAAGCCCGGATCTGGGTGCATTTTGGATTTGACAGCTTAAGAATTAGCTTTGCAAAATGAAATGTCATCACCCAAAGGCTAATACGACTCCAGCACTAATAAACAAGACTGGCCAACCAGCACACACTGGCACGCTTTACAAAACTTCCATCCAGCTCTGTTCAGCCAAAGGAAATAACTCTGCCCACAGTTAGTCGTAATGACATCCGCCAGCAGTTGGGGATCTTTTTTTTTTTCTTTTTTTCTTGGAACAGAAGCAGTTGTTTTCCTGTGATTGAGAGATGATACACTGCTTTACTATACTGTAACTTTTTTTGATTTGAAAGTTGGGGTATGTAATCCTTTTTTATTGTTGGCATGTACAAGAAAACTTCACACTTTTCCTGTTTAGGTTTCCAACTATAACTTCATTGATTTTATGATCTCTATGGTGAATTATTTTTCTAAGGAAGTATTAAC